GTTTCAAAGGCACGTTTCACAGATACACAAATTCTTGTTTCTGAAGTGAAAATAATATTTTTAATAGCTGTCAATATATTAACTTTAATTTTGGTGCTTCTAGCACCGTTCTACATATCCTACCAGTTATACAGAAAAGAAAGCAGAAATAAGAAAATTTAATTTCCAAGAACTGGCATTAGAACAGAATTGCACAAGATGTTTGCTGCATTGCTTTTTATAGTAGAGGTATGTCCTGGGAAAATTATCATTTTAATTCTATATCATAATGTATTGTGTATTAAGATCTGTAGTGAGCTTGAGTTCTGAACAGGATTGTAAGTCCACCAATCAGAGTGGCACAATGTTATGGAGGGAAGCACTCTGATTGGATTTTATCTGTAAATAGTGATTGGTTGTTTAACGATATGTGGGCGTGGCTACCCAAGCCCGGACTGTTTAAAAGAGAGCCTGTTGCTCTATGTTTTGTCTGGTATTGCCTGCGTTCTTGACTTCTACAATAAAGCTGAATCACTTTGTTAAATGAGCTACGCAAAGTCTCATATTTAACAACTGGTGACAAGGATGGGATGCAGTGGGTAAGCAGCCCCACAGAACGATAAGAGCAATCACTACAGGGCAAGGAATTGTCACCTTGGCCCTCAAGAGCGAGGCACTGACCAGGCAAGGCAGAGTCACCTTGGCCCCAAGAGCTAATCACAACAGACACCAGAGAACCAGTGCTGCTGCTGCCGCAGATCGGGTCCATCATGGCCACCGTGAGCCAATTCGAGCCTTTTGATGTGAGCACAGAGGACTGTGACACTTTTGCCTCCTGGTTCAAATTCTATGCAACCGCTTCCAAGATCACAGACCCAGCTGTCAAGAAGGCCACCTTCCTGAGCGTCTGTGGGAAGAACGTGTTTAACCTAGCCCGGACGCTAGTGGCGCCGGCCGAGCTGTCAGCAACCTTGCTAGCTGAAATCACTAAACAGCTACAGGCACATTTCACCCTCCGACCATTGGAGATTGCTTGCAGGCACGCCTTCCACAAGCGTGACCAGGCCCAGGGCGAATCCATAGCTGAGTACGTGGCAGCGCTCCAGAAAACGGCAGCGCTATACAAATTCACCGACCTGAACGACCGTCTCCGAGACAGGCTGGTCTGTGGCCTACGGGATGAAAAGCTACAGCAACGGCTATTAGCTAAAAGGGAGCTCACCTTCCAGACTGCTTACGAGGAGGCTATTGCTACCAAAGCTGCTGAGCAGCCCACCGAAGAGGTCCAACAACCCACTTCGCCTTCTGGGTCCCGCCGCACCCTGTCAATCCACCATGACAGCTAGGACGAAACCGACAGCAAGGACGGAGATGTTCATCGAATGAAGGCCGGTCACCACCAAATGTACTGATGGCAACCGGGTCCCGAATTGGACTGTGCCAGCTGTGGAGGGCACCACGACAGCCGGGGTTGCCGGTTCCACGATGCACAATTCCATGAGTGCGGAAAACCGGGTCACATCGCCCAGGTTTGCCGCTCGTCAAAAGCCAAGAGATCACCACCGACTTCACCGCAGCAAAACCGAAGATCCGCCCAGACCGACACCAGGTGCATTGACTGCATCTACCACTCAACCGTGCTGCAATCGAGCTTGCCAACAGGAGAGAGGATCATGGCGACGGTGCTGCTCAACAACATCCCCTGCGAGATGGAGGTCGACTCGGTGTCGGCTCTCACCATTGTCTTGGCACAGACCCTTCATCGGCTGATTCCCAGATGGAACAAATGCCAGCAGCGTCCATGTGAGGTACAGCTGATCGACTTCCACAGGCAACGCATCCCCGTCACGGGAATAGCCACCATACAGGCCCACTCCAACAGATTTAGCGGTCCGTTAGACATCGTGGTGGTGGAAGGTCACTGTCCCAACCTCGCTCCTGGTGGCCCCTGGTGGCCAGCCACCCCGGGGAACTGTTAACTGATTGGGACTATGTGGTCTCTAGCCAGGAACCCGAGAACTGTTTCCACACAGGTCCACCGGGCCCAGTCTATGGACATTCTGAGGTTTGGCCAGACCCCACCTACCTCGATCCGGAGATTGTAGATGCCTTGCGGAGCTTAGGAAGCGTGATATAATGTAATTGTATGCCGTATGTGTTTATGAAATTGTATGGTAAATGTGATTGTATTGCAAATGTACAGCAATGTAATTCAAGCCTGGAGTTTCGGCCTGGAGTTTCAGTCACAGCTCCATGCAGCATGGTATCCCTGCATTTTGATTGGCCCTGTACGGAAACAGACCAATCCAGGGGAACACTGTTTGACGGGAACAAATCCCATTAGTGCTTGACTCATATGCAATGTCTTGTATCACTTTACACTAACTCGTATGCATGAGTGACTTGTAAGTATCTTGGCTGGGGGTGTGGGTGTTGAGAAACAGTGCCTGCAGACCCGGACAACCCCAGGGAGAACTTGTAAGTGTATCACTGTCAGAGATGGAGCAGGCCACAACAGCGCCATCTTTCGGGTGCAAGGCGCAAAAGCCGTTACATTCAGAACGTCGCCAGAGCTGCCCAAGCAAGTTGGGAGCTATCGGCAACCACAGTCCAGCCGTGCCTAGGCTCACAGAATCAAACAGCGTCCGAGCCATCAGCAGACGGACTTCAATGTTCTAAGAGTAAGCACTTCACCCGCAAGAGATGCACGAGCTAAGGGTGGAGGGATGTTGTGTATTAAGAACTGTAGTGAGCTTGAGTTCTGGACAGGATTGTAAGTCCACCAATCAGAGCGGCACAATGTTATGGAGGGAAGCACTCTGATTGGACTTTATCTGTAAATAGTGATTGGTTGTTTAATGACATGTGGACGTGGCTACCCAAGCCCGGACTGTTTAAAAGAGAGCCTGTTGCTCTATGTTTTGTCTGGTATTGCCTGCGTTCTTGACTTCTACAATAAAGCTGAATCACTTTGTTAAATGAGCTGCGCGAAGTCTCATATTTAACATAATGTAAGAAAGGGAAGGTGTATCACTTTTTAAAATTCTTGGAAATGTTGTAGTCATTTGTGTAGATTTATCAGGTTCCCTTTTGCTTTTCATGAAGATCAGCTCAGATGTCTATCCATTGTTTTCCATGTGTAGAAAATGGCAGGTTATCCTAGGCCCCGTTCATACGAGCCCATTTGGGCCGGGAGCGGGACGGAACGGGGGCGGAGCAAACCGGCACGATCCCACCTCAACATCTGGGGAGCGTGCCGGATCCGTCCCGCTTCCGTCCCTTCCAGCGTTGCTCCACGGCAAAAAAGAACCACCTCCCGAGGTGGTTCTTTCCGAAGGGCCGCAGCAACGCTGGCCATGGGATCGCTGGCGCGTCCTTGCGCCGGCGCATCCCCGGCTCCTGGCCGAACTGCGCATGTGTGAGCATGCGCAGTTCGCCAGGCTCCCCTTCCCACCGCTGCATTCTCCCCAGCATCTGATCGTGCCGGGGAGCGTTGCGACGCGGCTCGGGGGGTCTGTGAGATCCCGCCGCGCCGTCCCAACTTTGCCGCGGTACTAGCACCTAATTCCCTGCCGTGTGGCAGGGACCCTAAGCAGATTTCCCCCACCACCACGAAATGGTATCTGAATATCAGGGAACCAAGTTCACCCTCTCTTCTAATGATTCCCCAGGGGTTTAAAGTGTATTGGACAAATGGGTCCAATTTTACAGCCCTTTGAATAAAGTGTCCCAAGTGTACAGGGAAAAGTGCAAAAATTGGCTGGCAATATCTGACTATATGCCCCTCCTATAACGTGCATCCAATGCCTCCTTTCAATTTACAGTTTTGCATGTCCCTTATTATTCACCTTCAGCTATTCCAAACTTTTGTTCACATTCACCACTTCCCCAGGAAGATTCATTCCAGTGAAAAAGGGAACACATCCACTTCTCTTTTCATCTCTCCAATGTGTACTTGGCCAGTTAAATAGGAGTGTGCCTGTAAGTGTTGGGGGAGAGAGTTAAGGTTGCCAACAAGCCTGCAGTAAAATGTTCTTGTCCTTTTAATAGAGGATTAATGTGTGGAAGTGGGCAGGTGACGCTTTTCATGGCATGATGGCAAATAACCAGTTGGTAAATAACTCATTAATCTGCTGGTAGAGAGAAAGAACATTATTTTCTCCAGGCAGCTGGCAACCACTTCCTACAAATTTTGGAGCAGCAGCCAAGAAAACTAAGTCAGGGAAGAATTACACAGACTAACACTTTTTACTTGCTGTCTATTTATACTGTAACAGAAAACTTTAATGAAGGACATTTATACAAGGACACTACAACAGACAGGCTCTTATGATATCTATTGGTTCCCAAAGGTACAGAAACAAGTGTTTGATTTTGGAGTAGAGGCTCAAGCTTCATTGGTTGAAGGGGCCTCTCTTGATGGCAATATTTCTCTGGCTTATCTCTTCTATGCACTAGGGACACGCAGAAAGCTCTGATGCACAAACCCTGGTGAAATGAATGGGAGCTGGTAAGAGTGCAAAGCAGGGCTCGTGCCCTTGATCCTTTGTTAATGCAACATGCAGTTCAAATTGCAGAGAAGTGTGGAGGGGTTATGCGGAAGGAGTGCAGTTGTTCCTCGGGTAATATTATCTGCATCATTATCATACAATTGTTATTGAGGCATGACCTCACTTTTCAAATAACGAAGTGCGAATTCAACATACTAGCAGCCAAATTTCTGTGGGATACCATTTTTCAAAGTTTTGCAAAACAGGTGTTTATGTTTTAGAATATTTAGTGGTCTTTATCGCAAACATCTGAAAGACTTCCCTCAGTGGTTGTAAACTTTACTCATTAATTCTTGCTATAATTTATTTTTTAGATAGCTTGCATTTCTGAATTCACAAACCTTGGAGAATTAATTATATTGAACCAGTGCAATAATGTAATATGTGGTATCCAGTACAAAAACATGGCATAATAACAAATCCATTTATGACTAGAGCATTCTTTCTTCCTAGAAAACCACTTCAGCGTCTTGTTATCATTTTTAGTAGCAGTTGCTCTTGGTACAAAATAGTGAACAGGACTTAAAAGTGTCACAAACATCACAAAGTTAATTCATAGCACACAGAGTAAATTCTATGTATATTACTGCAGTCTGAAACATGGAAAAAGATGCTCCGAAAAAAGGTTATTGGCCCTACATTAATCTTTTTACAACTGAATACCAATGAATATGTAAATCAGTGCTCCCCCCAAGGATAACTCAACATTCCTGAAACATAACATTTTTTAGAAAATAATTCATTGCACAGTTAATACAAAGTCAATGTACTTGCTTTCAGAAAAGTTTATTGTAACTCTTTAATCTTCAAAATCTTGAGTTTTGCAGTGAGAAACCCACTGATTAGAAAAATACAATGGTATGATGGAGGCACAGCTGTAGGGTCTATTGCAGATATATTGAAAGTTTAGAGGTGCTGATTTCTGTCCTTGAGATAGCTGAAGAGCATATGCAATCCTCCCTCTACCTTCTCTGGCAGTGGTTTGGACAAAGGGTTGTGTGAAATATGAAGGCCTTTATCCACTGGATTCCAAGCAATTTTGGGCAGTCGGTGAAGCTGGTAAAGTTCATTGGGAAGCATTTGAATAGAATTGTAATCAACATTTAGAAGTTCAAGAGAAGTTATAGAGCAGATAGATCTTGGTAAAGCATGAAGGTTGTTATAGTCAGCGATTAAGATCTGCAAGTTCACTAAAAACTGGATACTCTCTCCAATGTTTTCAAGTTTGTTGCAGCCCACATGTAAAAAATCTAAATTCCTCAATGCAAAAACACTTAGAGGAATGTAGATGAACTGATTGTTGCTAAGGTTCAGCTTTCTTAGGCTTATTAGTTCTGTGATGCTTGAAGGGAGATGGGAGATGCAGTTGTGTGAGAGACTCAAGACTTCCAACTTCCTGCAGTGTCCAAGTTCTGCTGGTATCTCAGTCAAGCAATTCATATTGACAAATAAAACCTTCAGGTTCCTGAGTAGTCCAATCTCCTTAGGCAGAGACCTCAAACGATTCCCACACAGATTGAGCACTGCCAGTCTGTCAAGTTTTCCCAAAGCTGAAGGAAGAGTCACCAATTGGTTGTGCGAGAGGTTTAGTTTCTGGACTTCTGGAAGTCCCCATAAAAAGTCAGGAAGTCTTGTCATCCCCTTCATTATGAGGTTCAAATTGACATATTGTAGTCCATGCTTTAGTAAAGCTCTTGGGTCTTTTCCAGGAAGAAGAGCCTCTTCCCAAGGAGGCAACTTCTGACTTCTTTTCAACAGCATCGAACTTTTCTTCCCCTGGCCCTTACAATTGTTGCCTCCCATACAGTTTCAGCCTTGCAGGTCCTGATGACTGGAAGTTTTATTTCCTTGACTTCTAAAACTACTACCTTACAAAAGGTTTCAGCTGTCAGTAGATTCATAGATCAAAACCAGCTCAAGAAGATATGCAAAGGCTTTGAAGAACACCTTTCCCTCCTGCGATTCCACTAAACAGCCGCTGCGGCTGCTGAGAGAAAGTTTAACTTATCCAGGATGGGGCTTCAAGATGTTTTCCTTGGTGTTACATGCTGTAATGTCACGCTTGCTACTGGCGCTTCTGAGCAAACCTGTTCCATTCAAGCTGAATGCCATAAGGCAGCTGTCACTGTCATTTTGTCTGGGCTTTATTGGATAGATACGCATCCTCATTGCAAAGAGGTCACTGCAATGCTGTATATAACTTCACCATGTCAGCTTTCTTGGATATCTGATGCATGAGGTAGCAGCGGGACAATTAGGAAGAGTAACTATAAAAAACATGGAGGGGGTGGCCCTCTCCCACTTCCAGCGCTGTTTATTCAGCTGAGGAGCAACTTTCATATTCAATGCGTACAGCCCTAATTTATAAGGAGATTTAATTATTTACATAAACGTTTTTAGAACGACGTGAAAAACCCATGCATTTTTTTTACAAAGGTAATTGATTCTATATCTCCATGCTGTTGAGGAATAACAACAACAGTAGCCCCCACTTTATCCTTTGCTCACCTAAACTAAAAGGAGCTGATTTATACGTTTTTGGAAAGTGGAGGCTGATGATAGGGAGGCAGTGGTTAGAGCACTGGACCAGGATCTGGGAGGTTTGAACCTTCAGTCTGCCATGGAAATCTGTTGAGTGATCTCGGGCTAGTCACTCTCTCAGTTTAACCCACCTCACAGGGGAGTTGTTTTGAAGATAAAATGGAAAAGGAGATAATATTGCAAACCACTTTGAGGGCCCATTGGGAAGATAAGCGGAGTGTCAAGAAAAGAAATGAATGCATAAGTTTGTTTGGTGGCAGGAATGTTGACATTGAGGTGAGCACTTCCTAGCTGGGCCCAAACTTTAGGAAGGGCTTGGGCTTGGATAGTAAGGCCAATCCCCCCCCCCCATATAAGAAATTGTTTTTGAACCTAAACAATCCTAAATTTCAGTACTGTTGCTATTTTTCAAAAGCGCATCATTAAATGATACTTGCAGTGGGTTACTTTCGGTACTTCTGAGCAGCTCTTAAATCCTTGTTCACAACTGAACAGCAAGCCCCAAAGCAGACTGTCCCATAAGATGAAAAACAATCGGAACAATACAAAGACTGTTTTAACCCATAAGGGTTACTTTGTTGAGGTTGTGAGGGACAATGACGTAGGAATAGAAAGAACAATAAGTAACATTAAGATAACTAAAAGGTACCCTTTTTAAAGCAGATAAGCGCACTGACTTATGGAGAGGCTTACAAAATGGTCATATATGCAAAAGGTAGCTCAGCACGGCATCTCACTTTCATAGCCAAGATCCAGCCCAAGGTCCTAATAGGTATATACTAGAATAATTGCTCACAGCATGAAGAAACAGATCTAAGATTGTGATCCTGACAACTGGGTTGTTACATGGTATCTTTAGCTGTAGACTGACAAGGCCTAAACTACAGAGATTGTACACCTTGTGCTGGATCCCTGAATTTGTTCAGATAAAGGCTAAGCCTTTTTCTGGTACCTGAAACCTTGCTCTGAAAGAAGAGGCATGTGTCTTCACAGCACAGCTCCTGGCACTGAAGGAACGCTCTGCCATGAGGAAAAAAATTCATAGAATCCTACTCATTATATTTATGTATTTATTTATAATCTGCTTTCTCACAGGGACTCAAGGCAGATTACAGATAGTGAGCCAGTACAGTAAACAAAATGGGACATTCAATAAACAATGCATTAGGATTGCAGAAGTCTGGAATCAACCAGAAAAAAAATGAAGCATAGGATAAGTATTGACATGACACATTAAGCAGTACAAAAAATAACAAGATCTACATACAGCAAGTAATACACAGTAGTATAGATCACAGTCCCTAATCATTTATTTAAATAAGTTTGTAAACAGTTTTGTACAGTGCAGCCCTATTATCTGTGCAGAAAGGCCCTCTTGAATAATTCAGTTTTGCATTTATACAATATGCATGATCAACGTAAAATTAAGCACATCTCATTGATTTGAATGTAAGTGTAGAGTACATGCTTAAAACTTTTCCAAAATTGCTTTAACTGGATGGTTGCTGTGAAAATCATGGCATGATTCTGGTTCTGGATTATGACAATAAGTTTTAAATATATGAAACATATAAATTCAAATGCATTCATAGCTCATTTTAAACACTGTTAGAACATAGGCCAAAGTTTTGTAAAATTAAATAGGCTGCTTCCGCATGGGTTTTTTCCTCTGGATGGAATGAAATGGAAGAAACTCTGATTTAAATGGAGCTTCTGAAGGATGTCATGCTCATTTTGAGCATGGTTTGGTGTCCCCCTGGAGCTTTCCCCTTTAAACTGGATCAAAGGTAGGGTTGTCAACCTCCAGGTGGGGCTGGAGATTTCCTGAAATTACAACAAGGGATGGGCATGAACTGGTTCATGAACGAAAGTTTGTGACGAATTTTGGGTTCATGATTTGTGAAGTGAAGTTTGTGGCAGGTTGTTCATGGCAGTTCGTGATACATTTCCCGACAGACTGTCCCCACTCAATAAATGTTTACCAAACTTCAAAGCAACATAACTTGGAGGACATGTAGAGGAGCATCCAGGGGAGGTCCCCTGCGACTTTGATGTCTCTAGCTTGCACAGGATCCATTCTATACACTCCTGAACCTCTTGAACCGGCACCTGTCAAAATGACTGCCTGTCATTTCCCCAGAAAGCACTTTCCTGGGTGCACCTTTTGTTTTTTGGGGGGAGGGTTGTAACTCTGACCCTGTAAATCCAATCCTCACCAAACATGGAGGGCAAGTAGAGGAGAGTCAGCCGGAGATCCCCTGTGGGTTTGGTGTCTCTAGCATGCTGGGGGAGCATTCTACTGAGTCATGAACCTCACAAACTGAACAGGTTCATTTTGCCCCTAAAAATTGTGACAGTTTGTGATCTGCAAATCGGGCACACCATGAACCACACCAAACTGCATTTTCCTGGTTCATACCCATCCCTAATTACAACTGATCTCCAAACTAGAGAGATTAGTTTCCTTGGAGGAAATGGCTGCTCTATGGCGGACTCTATGACATTATGCCCTGTTGAGCTGTGTCCCCTCCCCAACCCTGCCCTTCTTGCCTCCACCCTTCTTGCCTCTGGGGAAAGCTGACAGGAGATTAAAAGTCTCTGGTTTGGGATGGCTCATCTCAAAGAGATGAAGGGGTAGCTGTTACTTTTCAACAAGGAAATGGTTTAGAATTTTCCACTGAGGCTGTGGCTAACAATATGGACTGCCTGGCAAGGTCTCGAGGCAGCAATAGGAAGGTTTTGGGCTTAACATGCATGGGAAACTATAGGTCTTTATTCACAAATGCTAGAAGTGTCTGAGGTAAAATTGGAGAATTGGAATGCTTGGTGTTGGGGGGAAAATAGACATTGTGGATATTTCAGAAACTTGGTGGGATGAGGAAAATCAGTGAGATATGGTGATTCCTGGTTATAAATTATATTGGAAGGATGGGGGAGGAAGGGTTGGAGGTGGGGTGGCTCTGTATGA